TAATATTTTATTTGTCAAGTAAGAATGTATCATGCTAATTACATAATTAAACAATAAGAATCCAATTCAGAGATAATAAATGCATAACATCAATTGCTCAAAGATAAATCTAAGTGTGAGAGGTGAATACCTGACAGCAGAAAAAGTAGCATTTATGTATGCTGTTCCCCTTAAATACTCTTCAAACAGACTAAAAATATTTAAGACTTGATGCTATTGGGTACATGTATATCTGTTATTCATGGATTGGAGAAATATTTGTCAATCTGTATGTAATTTTTGTAATTATGTATCTGTATGTTTAATTTAGTGAATTACAGTAACACTGTAAAGTGGCTAAAGAACTGTAAAATTACAGTAAACTACAGGCAAATATGCTGCAGGTATTTTACAGGACAATTCTATATACAGCAAAAAAACATGTACAGTACTTTATATGTGAAGCTGCTGCCAATTAATTACTGCAAATGTAATTAATTTTGGCTCACACTTATGTACTTTTTTGTTCAATGTGTCACGGTCAACAGGAAGGGACCCAAATGCAGAGTGAGTGAAACAAGATTTATTGAAAACACAAGTTCACAGCACAGGGGTGGACAATCTTGGGACAGCTCCAACCAGCAGGGAGATATCAATGCCCTGACAGGTAGACAGTCTCAGTCGTTGGTCAAATCTGTGCGAAAGGATGGGGAGAAAACCAGAGCAGAGAACAGCAGAGCATGCACGCAGAGTGAAGGGGCTCAAAGCAGGCAGTATCAGAGATTCGGTTCTCAGCACCAGGCTTGGTTGGCAGGCAGCCTTGGGGAACCAACAGGCAACACCACTCAAGACCACACAACACCACTACTCAGCACAACACACAGAGAAACAACATTATGTACAAAAGGGGGGGAAAATAAAATAAAAAGTAAAGCAAAACTAAACAAACGTAATGGAAATATCTAAGTTTAGACTAAAAAACAACTAAAGTATAAAATCTAAACAGCTCAGAGAAGAAACAAGATTGATGAACAACTAAATATGATATTACAAGTAAATTTAAGCAAGATACTAAAGAACAAAACCAAAATCAGAAGATAGAAAAATCAAGAGCAAAAACTACAACGCCAGGGCAGAGCCCTGACAGTACCCCCCCTCCCAATGGACGCCTCCTGGCGTCCAAACCAGTCCTGGGAGGTGGTGACAACAGGGAACCAAGGGGATATGAACTGGGCAGACTTAAAGGGAGCAGGCATAGCGGAGCCATGCAGCACAGGAGAGGGGGTGGGGAGGGTGGGAATAAATCTAGTGTTGTAGCCTGGCAGGGCAGAGTGGAAGGCTGCCGGTGGGGTGGGAGAACCGCAAGTGTTTGGTTTAGAAGGCGGAGCTGGAGAGATGGAAGTAGTGTATCTGCGGGTATTGACTGGCTTGACCAATGATGGCTTAAAAATCGTGGAGTAGGGCAGGGTGCTTGGGGAGCAGGAAGGGGACAGCCTCCCTGCCTATGACAAGACTGACCGAGTGGGTGGAGGATTCTGGCAGGTCTTGGATTGGCTCTGGAACATATTCTGGATCTAGGATTGGCTCTGGAACAGACTCTGGGACTGGCTCGAAGAAGGACTCTGGCTGCTTCTGGACTGAGACTGGTTCTGGAATGATCTCTGGCTGTTCCTGGACTGGGACTAGCTCTAGAGTAAACTCTTGGAGTGGATCCAAGTCTGGGACTGAAGCATACTCTAAGGCAGACTCCAGGGACTCTGGGACTGGAGCAGAGTCTGGGACTGGAGACGAATCTGGGGTGGATTTTGAGGCTAGAGTTGAGTCTGGGACTGCCGTGGACTCCAAGACTGATTCTAAAGACTGGAGGACTGGAGCGGATTCTGAGCCTGTGGCAGTGAGACCTGGCCGCTCGGAATGGCCTCTGTGTCAGAAACAGTGGCCTGCTTCAAACTGGCATTCATGGCCTGGCCAGTGACAGCGGGTTGCTTGAGGATGGCCTCACTGGCCATAACGGGAAGGACAAGCAGCTCAGGGATGATGTCCTTGGGCATGGCATGACTGGCTGGACTGGGCTCTGTGGGCATGACATGACTTGCAGGAATAGCTTCTCTGGGCAAAACAGGAGGTTCAGACACTGTCACCTTAGTCACAGGACAAAATGACTCTTCAGAGATGGTCTCTGTGGCCTTGACAGATGGTGCAGATGACTCTGGGATTGCCTCTGTGGTTGTGACAAGACTAACAGAGACAGCCTCTTGACCTGGAACTGAGTCAAGTACAGGCTCCAGGGCTGAAACAGGAATGCCTTTTTTGGTTGCTGGAACAGATTTAGGAGCGCCCTCAGAGGCAGCTGAAATGCCCTCCGGGGCTACAGCAAGAGACTCAGAAGCCGACTCTGGGGCGCCCTCGGGGGCAGCTGAAATATCCTCTGGGGCTGCAGGAATAGACTCAGGAGGTGACTCTGGAGCACCCTCCGGGGCTGCAGGCATAACAGTGGACTGTAAAACACGAATCCTCTTCCTCCTCCGCTTACGAGGTTGCTCTGGGCTGAGCACTGGGTCTGAAGCAGACACTGAAGCGGACTCAGAGGCTGGAATGGACTTGACTGGTTCTGGAAGAACTGGAGAGGACTTAGACTCTGGAGTGACTGGGCTTGACTTGACTGACTCTTGAATGACTACAGTTGACTCTACTAGTTCTAGGAGAACTGGAGCAGACTTTACAGCCTCTGGGTTGACAGGCTTCTGGACTGAAGCAGACTCAGGGGCTGGAGCCGACACAGGAGCGGGCTCAGGGGCTGGCTCTTGACCTTCCACAGGAGCTGCAGAACTGCCCTCCGGGGCTACTAGAACGGACTCGGGAATTGGCTCTTGACTGCCCCCGGAGGCTGCTGAACTGCCCTTCAGGGCTACTGGAACAGACTCGGGAGTTGGTTCTTGACTGCCCTCGGGGGCTGCTGAACTGCCCTCCGGTACTACTGGAACAGACTCGGGAGTTGGTTCTTGACTGCCCTCGGGGGCTGCTGAATTGCCCTCCAGGGCTAATGGAACAGACTCGGGAGTAGATTCTTGACTGCCCTCCGAGACTACTGGAACAGACTCGGGAGTTGGCTCTTGACTGCCCTCGGGGGCTGCTGAACTGCCCTCCGGGGCTGCAAGTACAGACTCAATCACTGACTCTGGAGTGACTGGAATGGCCTCAGCTGACTCTGTGGACTCAGAGATGACTGCAACAGTCTGAGCCGCCCTCTTCCTTCTCAACCTCCGTTTCATCGTTGGAGTCAGAAGAGGATCGGGAACTTGACTCGACGAGGGAGGGAGGATGGGGTGATCACAGCATGTGGACTCTGGTGGTGTAAGTATCTGCCAATCCTTGCGGTGGTACAAATAGTTGGAGAAGTCCCACAAGTCCAGTATTCTCAGTTGCTCCATCTCCCACTGTGGCAGAGGGTCATCCAGGCAGATATTAAAGGCCTCCTTGAGGGCTGCATCATCATACTCCAGGCCCCTGGACACGGTCCAAAAATACTGGGCAAAGGCCCTCACCTCCAGCCCCTGCTGACGAAGTGCTCCCAGGCCTTGCTGGCGGGCCAGTCTCTCCTGAGCATTTGCGGGGGGCAGGATTTTGAGACTTGTTCTGCTGGGTCCTGACTTGGCTGGTTCATTCTGTCACGGTCAACAGGAAGGGACCCAAATGCAGAGTGAGTGAAACAAGATTTATTGAAAACACAAGTTCACAGCACAGGGGTGGACAATCTTGGGACAGCTCCAACCAGCAGGGAGAGATCAATGCCCTGACCAGGCTTGGTAAGCAGGCCGCCTTGGGGAACCAACAGGCAGCGAGTCTCAGGCTGGTAGAGCAGGACTGGAGGGAACACACAAACACACACAGATACACAAGAAAACACCACTCAAGACCACACAACACCACTACTCAGCGCAACACACAGAGAAACAACATTATGTACAAAAGGGGGGAAAAATAAAATAAAAAGAAAAGCAAAACTAAACTAAACAAACGTAATGGAAATATCTAAGTTTAGACTAAAAACAACTAAAGTTAACAGCTCAGAGAAGAAACAAGATTGATGAACAACTAAATATGATATTACAAGTAAATTTAAGCAAGATACTAAAGAACAAAACCAAAATCAGAAGATAGAAAAATCAAGAGCAAAAACTACAACAAGGATACACAATAACAGGGCAAGACTGGAATATAGAGCAGTAAGTCAGTAACTGTCTCTATGGCACAAGACGAACCAGCCACCACAAGAGGAAAAACAGCACAATATAAAGGGAGGAAAGTACACAAGGGACAGGTGAGCCCAATTACAGAAACAAGGACAAGACAAGGCCTAAACAAGTGGGCTTGACCAAGGGAAACAAGGAGGTGGGACCACAGGAACACATGGCAAGCATAAACAAAGACAAAACAATGTGTGAAAACACAAGACAAACAAAGACACATTAAACAAAGACAATACAGAAAAAGCTGCCAGGGCAGAGCCCTGACACAATGGTCTATAAGTGTATATACAAACATACATTTGTTTTGGACACATTCAGTATAATCATTGTATTCAATCATTTACATTTTTATTTTTAAAATAATCGTTCACCCAAAAATATAAATTGTCATAATTTCCTTCCCTGCATGTAGTTCCTAACCTGTATGAGGTTCTTTCTTCTGTGAAACACAAAAGACGATATTTTGAATATTGTTGGCAACCAAAGTTTTGGTACCACTGCTTTCCAATGTGTGGACAAAAACATTTCTCAAAATATCTTCTTTTATTTTCCACAGAAGAAAGTCATTCTGTTTTGAAATGACTTGAAGATAAGTAACGTGATGACAGAATTTTCATTTTTGGGTGAACTATCCCTTTAACATTAAATGTTTATGTTTGACAATATTTTCACACAGTTTTTGTGTTCAATAATATAATAACACTCACTGTAGTTTCTCAAGTTTACAGTGTGGATCCTCCAGTAGAGCAGAGAGCTGCTTCGCTCCTGAATCTCCTGGTTTATTAAAGTTCAGATTCAGTTCTCTCAGGTGTGAGGGGTTTGATCTCAGAGCTGAAATCAGAGCAGCACAGCCTTCCTCTCCAATACCGCACTTCCACAGCCTGCAGAGAGTGAAGAACATAAATGATCTCTGAGATTGTGTTTAAGTTTTAGGGTGAGAGTGTGTGTGTGTTTGTATGAGCACTATTTTCTCTATACACCAGGATCAGTGCTATAGAGATTTTAACTTGCCAGCACAAGCACAAGCTAAGAAACTAATTGAAATGCACTCTACTCACATGATTCCCGATACTGAACTAGTTTATCATTTTCATTCTTCAAACCTTTTGCAGTACTATATAGGCAGTAATGTTAAAATATTAAGAGTAAGATTATAGTATAACTATGACATATTACTCTGGTGTTTTTTGAGATTGTGGGGTCGTTGAGAGGGCATGTATATTTGTAAAATAGACATCACTCTACTTTTTTTCTCACAATGAATTAGGGAAAGTAGCATTTATGAATGCTGTTCAAATAAATACTCTATAAATACTATAAATACTCATATAAATACTCTTCAAACAGATTAAAATATTCTAGTCTTGTCTTCATGACACTGAGTATATGTAAATCTGTTATTCATGAATTGGAGAAAGATTTGTCAATTAAAATTTTTGTAATTATTTATCAGTATGTTTTATTTTGGATTATACTTATGCACTTTGTTTTTTCAGGGTATGTAAGTGTATTTACAAACATACATTAAAATTTATATATAATTATAATAATTTTATTTGATCATTTATATTCTGTGGCGTGTGTGGTAGTTTACAATGGGGCTAAAGATGGACCCATGTAAAAGGCACATTTAAAATTATTATAGACAAATTAGAATCATTAAAAGTACAGACTTATGTTTTGAAACAAAGGTCTTGTTAATGTTTTCAGTTTTGTTCAAGTTAATTAAATCAACAGATTTTCAGTAACTGAAGAATATGACAAGGATGATATTTGGGGTAAAAAATTTAATTTTAAAAATATATCACTCTGGCGGGACGACCAAACGTCAGACACAGTGGGTGTGGCGTCAGGCCTTGGAAAGGCTTTTATTAACAGAAAATAAACAGTGTCCAGAAAAAGGGGAATTGAAGGGACTAGACAGCCCGGCATCCTGGCCTGACGGCCGTGTAACAGGTGCGGTTCTCGTCCGGACCGCGGGTCCGGCAGCTCACGACTCTGGCGGCACTGGAGTCCCTCTACGCACCCCTCCTGGACCCACGAGGACACCAGCGTGCATGCACGGGGAAGAGACCGGTCT